CGCTGAAGCCAGCAGCAAACAAAACGCTGATCGGCACGTCGTTTTCGGCGTAGTGGAAGACGCTCTCGACTACTACCTGACTCAGAAATGCTCTCAGAATCAGAGAAGCTCTCAGCACCTGACAGCAGGCTATCAGCTGATCGCCGTCACCTCCAAATTCGCCCGTCAATACGCCACCCGTCGCACAACTAGCTGCCATATCTTCCTTCAGCCATAACGGATTCACTTCAAATTTTGAGTGCTGGACCTTGAAGCCCTGTGCTGAGCGAGGCACAAGCGCTTGATGCAAATAGAGCCCTCTAACCCAGGTAAAAAATATGCCACAGTTTGCCAAACTTCAAACGCCTGTATCTCAAAATGATGTCATGCAGCTAACGTTCCATTTCTACCTTGTCCGCTCACATGTACATATCTGTGTGTGTGTGTGTGCGTGTGAAAGAGAGTGTGTGTGTGTGATCCATGGGAAGATAGGTTTGCTCCCCACACTGGAGCTCGAGCTACATGTACATGTACATGTACATGTATTCCGCCGACTTGACTTGACACTTGACTCGCAACCACTACATTATTATTTTTCGTACTGTTGTGCCCAGCTTGCGACTAGTTGGTTTGGAGGTAGCCCTTGGCGGATTATGCCGGCATAATATTTGGCATAATCTTCGGATTTCATCAAAAATTATGCTTCGGCATAATATACGGATTCCAACGTGTAAGGTCGGCATAATCTTTCGGTTTAGACAAAAATTATGCTTTAATAGGGGCATAATACAGCTTTGTCAGAAAGCCTGCAGATGTTTTTTTTTAATACCCCAGTTACGACTCCTTGTCATAGCCCTTGGCGGATTATGCCGGCATAATATTTGGAATAATCTTGGGATTTCGTCAATACATTATGCTCCGGCATAAAAAACGGATTCCAACGTGTAAGGTCCGCATAATCTTTCGGTTTAGACAAAAATTATGCTTAGGGCATGGCCATGTGTGTATGCGTGGTTTCTCAATCCTCTATGTACAGCGTGAATACATAGTGGAACCGAGCATAATTCAGCATATTTGTTGGCATAGTTGTGGCATAATCAAAAGCATAATTTGACGATTGGCCGAGCATAGTCCGCCAATGCCTATTTGGAGGTGAGAGCGCTGTGAATAGGTCTGTGGGAAACACCCTAGTAAAATAAAAAAATAAAAAATAATAATATTAATAATAATAAGAAGAATGACCAAGGGTCCTCGACGTCTGTTCTCACCGTCCAGGGGCGACACTGACTCACGCTGCTATCTGGTGTTCACGAGGTGTTTTTTTCCTTTTTTTTACAAGTACTATGTTCACATACCCAACTCGTTTAATGATAATGAAAGACAATGGTAATGAGACAAGGACAAACGGTTCAGTGCTGCCAAACCGTCCGATTTTTCGGACAGTGTCCGATTTTTGAAGGCTCTTCCGAAAACCGGTCCGAAAACTACTGGAAACGTCCGAAAAGCAGCCAAAATGTCGGAGATCATTACTTTCCTATGCACAAGTCCTGTACTTTCACTTTTCAGCGCAACTGAAGGCACAAATCACTGTACAATTTTGTGTCTAAAAAGGCTAGTGCTTGGCTGTGGAAGTGCAAAGTAACATGGCATGTACACTGGCAGTCTGTAAAGAGTCAGTGTACGACCACACTCATCATTACAAAATTCATGACAACTCCGGAGTTACCATGGCAACGAAGCGAATTTTCATGGTGTTTTAGGCGATATTTTGAATTCTCTGTAAAAAAAATGCCGAGGAGAAAAATTCGCACCATGCAGCCAGCCTTGGCGGTGAAGGGTGTCCGATTTTGGGCGAAAATTATTTGGCAGCACTGCAAACGTGACAACTACTAAGTAGGGGATGCACCAAATGCAGCAGTGATGGTGGGGCATTGATGGCTCTGCCAACCTGAGGTCTCGGCATCACGGCCAGAAACACGCACCAAAAACAACTATCATTGTCGCTCTGGAAACGGAGCGTCTCTGTAAGTTTGTATCCCTGGTGGTGTTTGTGCCTGGAGAGCACTATATAAGGTGGGACACCACCTTTCGCGGCCCATATCAGACCGCATACAATTGAAATAGGCATATCATGAAAACGGATTGGCAGATTGCCTTCAAATTTTCTATGTTCAATCACTATATACTGCTCCACAATGTAGGCACCAAAGAGAGAATTTACAGGTCATCCAAGTAATGATTGATGGGCTACACAAATTCTTTACGGGTGCGCACAAACAGCAATTTTTTTGGACAACTTTGCAGCAAGATGTATCAACACAGACAGTTCCAAAATGCAGCAAAACCCAGTCCATATGCCTATGCAGGGAATGAACTACAATGAGCTCTATCTGACAGGTATTACTACCCCAAATGCAGAGACAAAACAGGACGAGCGCAAAACGCGTAAAATAGAAGGCACTGTGGGAGCTCAAAATCCAATGTAAAAGGTCCTATGATCACCATTGTAGTTCAATCCCTGCGCAACAAGTCACTGATTCCAAAAATGTATGGGTTGATAGGTCTAAAATAAACACAATAGCCGCAATCATGTCCAAGAAGGCAGAAAAAGGCCAAAAAGCACAAACATTTAGGTGTCTTTTTCATAGATTCTAAGACTATTGTTCCAACTAAAACCCACCAGCCTCGTATGTGACACCCTCAGCTTCCACAATCTGCTCCTCAATTCCCTTCCTGCACCTCCTCCTTTGTTTCCTTCGCTGTTTTTCCTCCTGCTTCATCTTCTTCTTAGCCTTGGCCACTCTAATACTATCCTCCAACATGAGCTGGCGTTTTGCAAAAAAGCCAGGTGCGGTTGCAGAGAGGGATATGGCCCGACTTCCACTCCTCATACTCGTCAGCTGTGACTTCACTATGCGCCTGGCGAGCTTACCACAAGCTGAAGCCATGGCAGTACTTGGAAGCTAGATGCACGACAAGGACCTTCCCGACTTGCCAGTCAATTGCCGTAAACGCACCGTGTAGGGAGGAAAACCCGCGCTTCATTCACGTATCATCATAGGTGACAGCAGTTATATGCTTAGGCCTGTCCATTGTCTTGTTCATCTGCTGCTTCGTTCATGCTGATTTGCGCAACTGACCTTGCTGCCTTGCACAATGCTCGCTGGTGCCGCTGGAATGCAGATAGCTGAACAGGTGGGGCAAATTCATGAGGCCGCAAAAATTTGCCAGCCAACATGGCCAATTCCCAGAGTGCGCGATGCCAGAACACTGCGGCGATTGCACTCATAAAAACGTCCTGACTTCTCCACCACTGGCAGGCTGGTGCCTGCTGAACACTGGCTCTTCATTGCAGCATGTGATTCTGACAGTGAATGCAAGGCCAGAACGTGCAGTTTCAGCAATGGTCAGCTCACCTCCACAGTATTTATACGAGCAAGCAGAGAAAATCAAATTTCGTAAACAATTCAAGTCCAGTGGCGTCTGAATCACAACTTTCAGCGATTGGGCCATGAAAGTCCTCAGAGAACGAGGAATCACTCGAGGGAGCAACTGTCTGAGTTCGAGGCCAGCGCACATCCATCAAAGCTCTCCTCCGAATCCGACTCACTATCGCTCAGTTGAATCCATTAATTTTTATTATGATCACTGTATTCTTATTTTTGGAACGCCATCGTACAACTTGCGCTTCGAGGCGGACTCTGGCACTGCTTCAGCTTCATAAACTCCCTCAGCAGCTTCCTGGACAGGTGCAGTGAGAATCTTCTCTTTGCAGGACGCTTGCACGACCTGCTCTTCTTGTTCCCCATTGTGCACATGGTGCATCGCGCTCGAAACTGCAATTGCAAGAGCAAAGAAGTCCTTTGGGAAAGAATTTTTGCACTTTTTTTGCACGTGGCACGGGTCACTGCTGCCATGGCAACAACATTTGGAAGTAAAAGCGCTTCAAAACTCCCAAACTCCACGGCCACAATCTTGACAGCTCGTTATGCACGACTCGAGCATCGCGATGTGTACACAATTTTTCAACTTTTTAGTGTACGAACATCGATGTGTACAAATTTTTCAAATATTTTCAAATTTCAAACGGTCATATGACTGCAACGGTTGGTCCGAATCGCTTCAAATTTGGAATACTGACACCTCAGGGCATATGCTTTGATTTCCAATAGCAAAAAGGTGACAAATCGAAAGTTGATTTTTTGACCCCTGGAAGGTGGTGTCCCACCTATCATTGTCGCTCTGGAAACGGAGCGTCTCTGTAAGTTTGTATCCCTGGTGGTGTTTGTGCCTGGAGAGCACTATATAAGTGGTGCTCTTCAGGCACAATCGTCCTCAGCCTACTCAAGCTCAACTGACGGGGGTGAATTCCCCGAAACACTGTGTACTGACTACTGAGCAGGGAGTGGTGCAGCCTTTCTTGCAGGTTTGCCGAGGTCGAAGGTTCGATGGACTACTCGTGTGCGCTGGATGGCAGTCGTGAGTCAGTCAAGTGTCAAGTCAAGTCGGCAGAATAGCGCGAGCTCCAGTGCAACACTAGTGACAGTACTAGTGTTGTGGGGAGCAAACCTTACTTTATGACTGTACTTCATCCTGCTATTCATTTTTTCACTTTTGACCTGAACAGCATGTTCCTCACGTGACCAATTAAAGTAGATAGCCCCGGGGTCCAGGTGCGTATATTACTGTATCACGCATTGACCCGCAATGTTCGTGAAATCTAGCATGACAGGTTGGTGTGGATCATTGCCAACCAATGGACTGCTGTGATTCGGGGAAATTAGCAATCTCCCTTCATTGGCTCATGCAACTTTACTTGAGGGGAAATTACACCCCGTCACCACGTCCACGATTCATGCCTGCGATGCTGCACAGCTGCTTTGCATGTCATGATTGGAAGCTGTGGTCTTAGTAAAAAAAAACATGTATTCCCAAGGAAAATTCCTCCCCGTTTTTTACATGTACATGTATATAAGTGCCTTTGATCCTCTTTCTTCCCTCGATTGACTTTTGCCCACCGCTCAGAAAGTCTACGTTGCATGCTGGAAAGGGAAGAAACATTATCTAAACAACCAGCTAGTTTATGCGTATAGAATCACACTGGACTTGCATGTAGATTTTGGAATAGCCATGGACATCTTGCTAACCTAGAGTAGACGTACATGCAGTTTTTGCCGATAACTATGTCCAGTTTCTGGAAAGATGGTTGCTACTACTACTAATCAGGTAAGACGTTATTGGAGAGGAGAGGTTTCCACTCGTTTGCTTAGAGTTGCGTTCAAATGATGCCGGTCATAACGTGAACGTAACAGATGTGTTCACTTCTGGAGACCAACTGGTTGTAGCCTGCGACTGTCACATAATAATTGTAATGAGCTCTGGCTAACTAGTATCCAATTGTCTCGTGACCATTGTTTTATTTCTCTAGCAGTAGGTCATTGGAACTAACCATTGTAGAATCTTTCCAGGAAGATTCCTTCTATTAGTTTTAGCTCCGCCAGCGGTGGGATAGCTCGACACGACAACTGGGCCAAGGTCGTGTTAGAAAAAGACAACTGGGCCAAGGTCGTGTTAGAAAATGACAACTGGGCCAAGGTGATGTTCTGGCCTCCATTGGCCTTGTGTTGCCATCCCCCTCTTCCACGTCTGGTGTGATCGGTCTTGGTGGTAGCCATTGCTCCGTGAGAGGGACAGACAACCAGCCAAGCGATGTGAGCATCGCTTTCCTGTTGCTGTAGGAAACCAATACGCGGCTGGTTCATCCATGACTTCATTGGGCATTCACCATTCAGCCGCTTCCGTGAATGCTGCCGGGATTTGAAGATCAGATACGGATGTTCACCAATTCTCACTGTAGAACGGGTGACGCTGCTGCGCTGGCGAGACAGCAGCTTCGCGCACGCCCGTCAAATCAGTGAATGCCTTTATTTGTGGAGCTGGACGTGACATCTAGATGCCAGGCGCGGAGGGAAAATCAAGGGGACTTTCCCAGGGACGTGTTAGAAACATGCTTTCTGTGGCGTGTCAATGGCCAGAAATTCCCTGGTGTCGCCATACTGGCGGGGACTAGTCGACTCGGGAGGAGGCGCGATGCATGCTGGCTAGCGCTAGTGCTATGCTAGTGCCCGGCCCGGTACTACTACACGTAGTGGCGTTGAACGTGTCGTTTACATACTTCACGTGTGTGCACGTAGCGCACCTGATCAATGCATGTCAGCTCGGGGTAATTCTGCATTCCAAAAAGCTGAGTTGTCAGACAGCATGCTCGTGAAAAAAACAAAAAAAGTACTGATAAACTGACTCATGCCATGGCGCGTATGGCTTGACGATGTGACTCTAATACTAATAATAGTAATACTAATAGTCTTAAAAGGTAATAGTCTTACTCAGATCTACCTGGACGTATAAGTCATAGCCAGTCATACTGATACTTGTTCAGTTGTTGGTTGAAGCGAGCTCAGTAACTTCAGTTCAACTACATTGTACATGTACTTCAAATAGCAACAAGGAGTTGCTTAGTCTGGAGCGCCATAGCATGTAGTCAAGAGGGAGTCCTAAAATACCATGGCATAATATGGTATTTTAATGATATTATTAAATTTAAGATTCCCTGTGGTAGTTACTGAGAAACAGTAGCAGCAGTAGTACAGTCGTAGGGGGTTACGTTCTGTCGAAGTCTCTTGCCTTGATCTTAGACATTGATCATACATGTATTCGACTCGTAATACCTACACCATTGCTGTCAGTTGTCACATACAAGGTCTACACTGTACATGTACACGACTGTACAGTGGTCCCGATGTAATCCAGCATCATTTGCGCTCCGGGAATTCTGCTGGAGGCGAGGGTGGTAGAAATCTGATTGACGGCTTCAATGTGCATGAAGAGGACATGTTGGGCTACTGAAAATTGTGCTGGCCTTTATAAAGTGCTGGACGACTGTACATTGTATATTATACATGTATAGTAGTAGTAATAAAATATTATTAATAATCATACATGTAAGTGTTCCCTGTTTCTGGCACATGCATCCTGAGCCTGTACTGAGTCGGTGACTAATGACTGTACAATCATGTCACACACCAACCGTATACTAGTGCAATCATTATGGTTAGATTGACAGCGTGAACCATAACAAGGTTTATCTAAATATTGGGTTTTTTATCCAGTGTTTTAATATACATGTAGTACCATCATGTACAATCGTCATGTACATGTACGTACCACGTCAGTCTTCACTCTTCACGTTAACGACAGTTACGTGAAAAAAACATTTACAGACGACAGTCATGACATTGTACTGCCACTTCTGGTACACGCATTTGAACTGACATTACAAAAATTAGACAATGACGTGTACAATACACTCATGTCGGATCGGCTACATGTTTTTATGAAGATACTGTAGCAAAAAAACATGGCGCTAGCGCTAACGCATGTGCCACATAGAATTATGCATGAGTTGAAATGAACATCCAAACGTCGTCGTTGCACGACAAAAATTAATGTTCCTCCGAGCCGATTGTCCTTGGCTTGAACTTGAAGTATCGTAGCTTGCTTTTAGCGTATTATTCCCTGTGCTTTGACTTTCCGATACTAGCCTTACTCCTCGCGGAGTGGCGATCGTATCATTCCAGCGACATCCTGGCTACTGGAGGGGTCGCTGCAGCTGCTATTTGTGCCGTTTTCAGAGCGAACGCGCGGAGAGTCCAAGTGCTCAGCTGATGCTCTGGACGGTAAGTGGAAATGTCCCACACTTCTTGTTAGTTCTCCTTCCATCGACACGAGCGCGGTATACGTTCGAACTGAAGTGATGTTGTTCTGTTCCTTCGAGCAAGTTCGGGCGCCACGGAATGCACTGCGAAGCGTTTGCCACAACGGCTACACCCCTCGCAAGTCGCATCGCACTGTCGTGAGGAGAAAAGGGCAGCTTTGTCTGAACTATGTGAACCAACCAGTAGAATAACTAGTTGCTGTTTTCGTGAGGACCGTCACGATGATCATCTAGTTGTAGCTGCTGTAGCTTAGGCACAGTCGCATGTCTTCGCCTGAGAAATCGTTCAGTTGATAATGTAAATGCAAAAGAAATTCTTGAAATGTGCCTTACAAAATTCCTTATAAAATTCTGTATAAATGCGGACCTTGACGTCCGAGAACATGAGATGTACTTCTCGATGCTGTTGTGACTTACAACGTCCAGTGTCTTGCTCTCCCTGCGCAAATGTCCGTTGCTGGATAAAGTCGATGTACACAATGAACGAGAGAGCTCAGCACGGGGCCGCTTCACTATTTTGGATCTTTACGTACCTGTACTTACTGTAGGGCATCAGCAAGAACTAAATGTGGCACGGGTGAGCTCCTGTACGCGCCTGTTGCTTTTCTTTTCATACAACTAGATACGGCGAATCTGAGTAGCTCGCTCGCATGATCAGTATCAACCGTCTGTACACGCGCATGAACATACACATTAAAGCGTTGTGGGCCCTGGCTAGCGCCAGACGCTACACTTCATAATGTCTTTTGCATAGCTACGGGAAAATGATAACTTTAACTTACTTGGTTGAAACCCGTGGCAAGTGTTTGAAAAAGTTGTGAAGTGAGTCAGTCGAATTCTTTCTACATGTGTCACTGCAGAGTGCGACTTGCACAGCAGTATCCATCTGCTGGTATTGGCAATCGCCTTCATTGTGAGTGTGGTAGCGAACAGTCTCTATTGGTTGCGCTTTCTTGCTGAGTTTGAACTCAAAAAGATCTTCCACCCTCCGTCACCAGTGCTTAAGTTTGTGAGAAAGTTTGGAGCTGTCGTACCTGATACGGTAAGTGTAAAAATCAACAGCTGCCCTGGGCAAGTGACTTATGTGTTTGAAAGTGGAACTGTAACCCAGCTGTTGCACAGCCAAATGCACAGTAGCACTGGGTTGGATGTGTGATGATCTTCCTGCCTCTGTGCACGTGCATATGATCCATCACACTGGGTGTATCGTCACGGACGTGTGTAACAGAAAGGATAGGAAATCTGAAAATTCGTTATTTTAATAGCGTTGATGTTTAAAAAAACATCCACGCTAATGAACGATATGGAACTGAAAAACTGTGTCTTAGAAACTAATATCAAGTCAGTACGGTACTATTTCAATGAGTTGTGATTCTCTTGCCTATTGGCAAAGAGGAGTTCCTTACGGAAGTAGACAATCTACCCACCCCGGTGAAACGTACCGAAATCACGTTAAGACCATGGGCCTGAGTCAGAGTACGGCTTGGAATGTTTTAGGGACAGATTTCTAAGCGGAGATGAGGATCTCCACGTTGTGCGACACACATCAGAAAATGCGACCGGATCGGCTATGTATCACTCAATTTCGTCATCGGACTGCCAGGATGATTTTAATGCAGGAACCTTCCACTACACGTTCCACGTGATATATTTGCGTGAATGTAGAGCAGAACACAGTCTTTACAGTACAAGAGTTCTCAAACCTTTGCTTTGCGCGTGTACTCCTAAAGGAGTATCTAACCAGTATTTGATCTCGCGTCATCACGAATTCAACTGAATAGTTTGTGCTTGTCACATGTGTAGGGTACCTCAACTCAAACACTCCAGACACCGTCTCTTGGCTGCATACGACATTTTACTTGTTCACCAAAGTGTCATGTGTTTCGTATTTTTCTACTCTTCCTCCTCTGCGTAGGGCACGTTTTTCGCTGGGATTCCAATCCGCCAGAGTCGAGTATCAAGTGATTGGCTCTACTACTCTCTTCTACAGAAAAGAGTATTGCTGATACAGTGGGGAGTGTATAATCCACGTCATAGAGGACAGCGAGGAGGTTCTGCGGTCACTTCAGGCAGAGCCTTCTCCTCCACGTTATCGTCAAAGGTACATACATACTTAGTATTTGATTGATTTGATTGACCCCACCCACCCAAACAAAAAGCAAAAAGCCACACACACACACGCACACATACACACACACACGCACACACACCATGTACCACACACACACACACACACACACACACACACACACACACACACACACACACACACGGCCTTCATGCATTCTAGTTATGTAACACGCTGGAGAGTTAGCAGTCAAGGATTGCGCTTGTCTGCGCCCAGTCTGCTGCAGTACTGACTAGTAGCGATGTAGCCAGGCTCCAGGATAAAAATCTGTCACATCTTCTTTATACGCTGCTACGATCTCTGACACACCCTGAGGCTTGATTGTGATAAGTAGCTGTTGGCCAATCCCAATGCCGTGTGCAATCCCAGTCACTATTTCTGTTTCTTATGCTCTGTTCCGGTCTTCTTCCCCGCGTGCTGTGTTTGCAGACAGATAGATTGTACTGCGTGGATATCAACAGATTCCTGTAATTAATTCGTCAATACGTCACGCATTTTGCTATAGTATATCATAAGGTCGTCTATCGCATCAATACTCGTATCTGCATTGCCAAGAGTTGAAAAGTATGGATCCAAGCAACTCTCGCCGGTCTCAGACCGATTTCCGTCGTCCCGTTTCAGCCGACACCAGAAATAGTTCAGGCATGATAGCCAGCGCCGGGGAACGGCATCAAGTTTTACAAGAGCCGTATGTTCGTAACCGAGGATTGCGGAATGAGCACTTCCGCGAACATCTCACACAGGCTGGCTTGCAAAACAGTCCACCATTACAATCCGCCAATTCTCATCAATACCAGTCAATGACCCAGTCATCAGGACAGTCGCCTCTAGCATCACAGTATTCCACGTCCATACCACGTTTCGCTGATCCAGGTTCTCCTAGTGGCCAACCGAGGTCATCGCGACTACAATCATCATCCAAGCATCCATCTTCAAGCCAGCCACCTTTAGGTCATTCGTCATCTAGTAGTTCCTCATCAAACTATCCACCATCAAGCCATTCTTCCCAACACCAGTCTCAACCAACAGTTCAACCAATCAGTCACAACAACCGAGGGTTCAACCCTTCATCTCAACACCAGCCTGTAGCCACAACTAATTCCAGCCAATCACCATGGGTAAGGAGCTGCTGCTGCTGCTGCTGCTGCTGCTGCTGTTGCTGCTGCTGCTGCTGTTGCTGCTGCCGCTGCTGCTGCTGCTGCTGTTGCTGCCGCTGCTGCTGCTGTTGCTGCTGCTGTTGCTGCTGCTGCCGCTGCTGCTGCTGTTGCTGCTGCGCTGCTGCTGCTGCTGCTGTAGAAAGCGGACAATTATGTTGCGATATCTGTCTGCTTCAATGAGCTTTGCGAGTGTCAGTATCGATAAAGAAGATTGGAGACAAGATTGAGAATTGCACACTTAAATACCAAAAGGAATAAGAATAATTGACCAGAACAAGGCACATGCTAAAATCAAGGTCGTCACAATTTTTTCATCTTTGCACCCTATTCAGTTCTCAGTCTGCACAGACTCCACTGTACACATTCATTATTATCATAAAATCCGGATTAGATGGCTGGAAATTCGGATTTTTTCTTTTCTCATTGATTGTTGTAGCGCAGAGACCGCTTGGAGAGTGTTGTGGGGATTTATGGTTGGCTCCCTGTTGTTTATTATTTTTCAATCGCTTATTCGCTGTAATTCCATGATCTCTTATGCGGTATGCGGTTTGACACCCTGTTCAGGTGTTTTCAAGTGGGCGTGAAGACTTTGCGAACGTTTTGCAAACAGCATCAGCGCCGCATGGATCACAAGCCACACAAACGCAACCCCCGGTACCACATGCCCGGCCAAGAATACGACAGTCCCCGTCCGGCACCAATTTAGGAGCACTGGCCGAATTGGCCGACGCGGACGAGGACCCAAGCGGCAATGAATCAGTTCGTCTACCACCTAGCCAACCCCAGCAGTTCTCCAGCCGCCCACAAGCCTATTTACCGTCCTCGTCAGCGTCGGAGACCGAAAACTCCATGTCCACAACAAGCGGCTCTTCAATAGATCCCTTCCAGCATCACCCGCCTAGTAATCAACTTGCCAGTCAGGATGTCTTGTCAGACGCGTCCAATTTATCCGTGCGCCGGCCACCCAAGACAGATACTATACATCAGAACGTAGCTGGTACTTTCGAGAATGAGAGCAGATCAGAAGGTGAGCGGAGCTTCGGTTATACTTGATGAATTTAACCGGATTCATTCAATATGACCCAATACTGTGTGCGGCTGATAATTCCTGCTCAATATTTAACTAAAGCAGACAGACCACTTATGTACGATTGCGTTGAGTGAAAACATGTGTCACTTGGTTCACGACAGGAATAAATGATAGAAATGCCAGCTCAAGACCCTTGATATGCTTGTTATCTGTCTGAATCATTATACGGACGACTGATTTGGCTGACCTGGTCGTCAGGGTACCGGTTGGTCTACTGTGTTAATCATCAAAAACCTACAGATCTTCTCACCGCTTGATCAGTTACCTCGTAATAATTATGTACCGACCCACCCGCTACCCATGTGTACGCGTGTCCGCATACACACACGTACACACACACACACACGAAAACACACATACTACCTCTCTCTCTGTCTCTCTCTCACTCTCTCACACACACACACACACACACACACACACACACACACACACACACACACATGATTAAAGACACTAAGAGTTGTCAGGCCTGGTTAGTCCAGAGTCCAGACACCACTACATAAGGTCTTTAGCATAGTTTTGGGAATAAATCATTCGGAGGTGGAGGGGATGGGGGTGGAGGAAGACAAGGCAGGAAATCGATAATGAAAAAACACTCTGGTTTGGAACTGTGAGAGTTTTGGGTACATGTTACTTTCCGAAAACGTGGTGACGATTTTGGTGATATTATACGAAAGCTGGTTGCCCCCCCCACACACACACACACAAAGTTGGCAGGAAAAGTGCGAGCTCCAGTGTGTGTGTGGGGGGGGGGGGGGGCAACCAACTTCCTCCTGATACTTTCTTCCTACGTATACTTTTCGTTTGTTTGCTAGAGTTGTAAACGATGTTTTTTTATGCACTCTCCTATCCTGCTTTGCTCGTCTCGTAGGGCAAGCTGAGAGTCAACCTGAGTTCATGGGCGGTGAATCCTCCGGGCGAAGCCTCTCTGACTTACCTGCATCTTCAAGCACGTCCAGACCTATGGCACAACACCGTCAGCGGCCACCGGCAGCTACGGCCGCAAGTAATCATTCCGGCGGCCGAAGGAACTACAGCAGTGACCCTGACACCAGTGAAATGGGCACACGCACACCGCCGCTACGTCACCAGCCGCAGCACCTACCCGACGCGTCAGCACAGCAATTTCACCGCCAGCTTCAGCAGCCTCAGCTGCAGCCACAGTCCACCCACCACCAGCCAAATTCCAACTCCCGACCGGAGCAGCATCAGCCGTATAACTTGAATTCGCGGCCACCGGACCGCACCTCTGGCCAACAGTATCCACATATTTCTAACGTGGCCGGACACACACATCCGCACTCGGATGAATACCTCCAACACGAGCTGCCGAGAACAAGTGCAGAGGCTACTGTTTATGTAGATCCCGTACCACCGGGTAGACCACATGGCGACGAGGCTGGTGGGTATGATGTGTTCTTCATCGACCCACTGCGCGACGCTCACCAATGTCCCATCTGCAGCATGGCCCTGAAGACACCGGTTCAGACCAGCTGCGGACATCGATTCTGCAAGACTTGCATCGATCCCATTATGTGAGTTATCTTAGGTTGTGCCTCTCAGAGACTGGGACACGATTCGAGATAGGGCATTATTCGAGATAGGGCACTATTTTCGAGGGAGGGCTCTAATCGCGCGAGGACGGCAGTAAGAATCATTGCTGTTGTACACAGCAGTGTGAGTCTAACCTCTTATAGTGCAGAGTTTGTGTTGTAGTTGCCCTTCCCCTTGGTAGTTTGCACTGTAGAAAGTGAGTTGATTCAGCAAGTTTGTACCAATTATTTTCTGGTGCTTTGTCAATTTCACGACTGTGCACCGAGCACGGGTTTTTCAGCTTCTTGGTTACTGAAGAACGCTCTCCTGGTTGATTTGATGTTTTGGTGGCTTGGTGGGATTGATCCCGTGCATTTTAGCTTGAATGGGATCAGTGATTGTAATGTTGTGAGCAGTTGCGTTTGGTCTGGTGTTTTTCAATTCTTGTGCAGTGCTGATGTTGAGAATGCGCAGTGCCCGGTGGACCATGAGCCGGTGGACAAGGTGAGTTCTGTGCTTCGAGCTGTGGTGTGCCGTGCACGGCATTGCCCTGCACCAATTGGCGAGGCTGGTGCAGCTTATATTAGCTCGTTGGTGATTTTCACTGCACGTGCAATGGATATCAGAGGGAGCGTTGCAGGGGCTCTGTGCTCGCCGTTTCTTTATTGCAGCCGATACTTTCCTGGACTCACAAGCACCCTTTCTATCTAATTATATAGATATAGCGATAGTCTTCCAATTATGTTCCAGTGGTCCTCTTATAGAAAGCAGGCCGATGCCTCCAGAGGCTGTTGTGCATCATTCCAGCTTGTGTGCTATTACAGTGTTGCCTGATGATTGGGACAGCATGATACTTTAAGTAGCGACAAACAAGCCTTGAATGCCCTTGTTATTCTGTATTACGCTCTGCCTCTGCGGTGTCCAGCACTGTCAGTACACAGGGTACATCCTCCAAGGTGTCCAACACTGTCAGCACACAGGGTACATCCTCCAAGGTGTCCAACACTGTCAGCACACAGGGTGAATTCTCTGCAGTGTTGAGCACTGTCAGCACACAGGGTACATCCTCTGCAGTGTTGAGCACTGTCAGCACACAGGATGTGTCCTCTGCGGTGCTCTTGTAATATAATTATGTCATGCATGCTCATGTTGGGTGTAATGTGCGTGCGTCTCTCTGTCTTCCCCACCGCAGACGTTTGCGGACAAGTGCTGTGAGCGCGAGGTCCTATCGCTGGGAGTGCGCTGCAACAACTACTTGAATGGATGTGTTTGGTGCGGACCACTCAAAGACTTACCGGTAAGAAAGAACTTTCTCAGATAGTGACCTTCGCTTCGACAAATCTGAATTCCTGTTAGAGTGTGGAAAGCATTCAGAAGATGGTGGCTGCTTTGATGACGCCCGACTTCCGCATAAAGCACATAAGAAGCATGTGGAAATTTCCATTTCCCGAAACAGAAGAAATGCGCAACTGCCCGCTCAATACACAGTTTGCTGGGGAATGCATTCCTCACCAGTTAAGCTTCATTAGGCGAGTGATTCTTTTTGCGTTAGCATCCCACGTTATAAAACCCAACCACTATTGTATGATTCAGACCGCAGTCGTATATCCCCTATGTTTTGTCCTTTTCCTCGTTCCTTTTTGGATCTCAACCTGTTTTCCAGTAGGGCTGTGTTAATTAAGAGTAAAAACAAAACAAACTAAAAACAAAAAAATTGGAAACTAGTCTAATGTTAGATAGTTGACAGGAATCACCAGCCCCCCCCCTGGTTAAGCTTTACACAAATGTTCTTATGCGGAACACAATCCCTTTTCAATAACCCTTCCCTTGCTGCATGCGTAGCACGTTCTTTATTTGTGAAGGCCAACATGTTTTTGGCTTGTGATCAACACTGGCTCACGCTCAATCACTGCTTTTCACAAATTTAACATGTTTTGTTACTTTTTGTATCATCCTCATGCTCAGTAACGTGTTGTCTGTTTTTACCTCCGCTCTTTTCCAGGATCACATGGGCGTTTGCAGGTACAATCTAGTGCGCTGTCCGAATCGCGGCTGCGAGGGGCAGCCCATGTTCCAGTGCGATCTGCACCGTCACATTAACGAGGAATGTTTGTATCGGCCTGTGCCATGTCGCCTGTGTCGCATGAACGTAGCGCAAGCCCTCATGCACGACCACCTTTCACAGGACTGCATGGACTACGAGATCCAGTGCCCCAACGGTTGTGGAAACAGTGTTAAACGCAGAGATGTAAGTCTTGAAAACAGATCTGTGTAGCTTGCCCTGCTGTGTTGAACATTCTCTGCAAAATCCCTGAGTGTGGGCATCCAGGTTCTTGTATGCGTATATAACAGAATAGTTATGGTCTGTCCTCGTCGATAGCAAACTCTTTCAATCCCAAGCGTTTGCTCATCTACCGGCCGCTGTGGCCTATGTACAGTGAAACCTGTCTAAGACGACTGCTCAAGGGACCGTCAAAACACGGTCTCTGTTACCAGGTGGTCTCCTTATCCAGGGTCACTTGACTGGAAGTAGCATCCTTGGGTCCTGGTTGCAGTGGTCTTCTGGGACAGGTGGTCTTCTGGGACAGGTGGTCTTCTGGGACAGGTGGTTTTCTGGGACAGGTGGTCTTCTGGGACAGGTGGTCTTCTGGGACAGGTGGTCTTCTGGGACAGGTGGTCACCTTGACAGGTTTTACTGTACCTGACATTGCTCATTCTGCGTTGAGACTGCATGCACGCATTGTTTACCCGCTAACTGTGTCCTGATCTTGTGATGATCCTGGAACTTTGTGCATCTGTATTGCAAGCTCGCTTTAGGTGAATCTAAAGTGTGTCACCGCATTTCTTCTCCTTGATTTACCGTTAAATCCTGCCGTGTGGGTAGGTGGCTGTATTGTTGCAAAAAAAATGTGATGATGTTGTGGCTCTTTCCGTAGTCGGCAGTGCCTGTTATAATGTAGTCACTTCGCTTCTGTATGTGTATTTTGTGTGTGTGTGTGCGTGTGTGTGTGTGTGTGTGCGTGTGTGTGTGTGTGTGTGTGTGTGTGTGTGTGTGTGTGTGTGTGCGCTCGCATGTGTGTATTCTTTCCTTGGTTATCACCATGCTCAGTTGGAGCGGCATACGGCTCAGGAATGCTCACACATTGTGTGTACTTGTCCATACCAGAGGTATTCGTGTCCGTTCAAGGTATGTTTATAGCACCTCTCATATGCACGTGTGTGTGTGTGTGTGTGTGTGTGTGTGTGTGTGTGTGTGTGTGTGTGTGTGTGTGTGTGTGTGTGTGTGTGTGTGTGTGTGTGTGTTTCTGTACCAAGGGCAGAAAGTTTGAATGTCACAGAACCAGGGTAGAATAAAAACGTGAAATAGCCAACAGTTATCTGTACCTGGCCTTTGTGGAGGTATCGCATCACGTGGCCGTTTGAGTCTCACGTTTCGTGCTCCATACAAAACCATGAGAACATAATCCGGTGACGTCTAAAAGCTTAATTAATGGGCCCTCCTTGGCTTATGAGAGGGCTCTATATGCAAAGTTGAGCTTGCACGCATGTCTGATAGTGCAGGAAACAAAATTAATTGTCCTGCTACATTGCACTAGCTTGGCCGATCCTGTGATAACACCAGTAATAGGGAGGGGGAGGTGTCGACGGTTATAGTGGGGCTGGTGAACAGAAAACTGCAATAACAAGCTGTGGCGCAGTGTGTGTCAAAAAGGGTTACATTGAAGAGCATAGCAGGAAAGAAGCTGGTTTTTGACTGAAGATATGAGAAAGCGACGGTGAAAACTTTCAGCACGGTAGATGAAAACTTAGCTGCAGAGAATTCAATGATTCTGTAAGTACTAGTATATTGAAGCGAGTAGCACGTATGGGGCACTTAGCCACGCTCCACCCCCGCCCCAATTTTCGACTTATGTTCAGCATGCACATAATGACCATGATGGCATGCAGCAGCCATCTTAGGCTACACATATGATACAGCTGCCGTGCACCACCCCCTTCAAGGGGAAGTTAAGGCAAAAATCAAAATTTCACCAGTTGTAGTCTTCGGGGTGCTGAGTCGAATGGTCTTGGTCCGAAAAGCTGAGACGCTCCCTTCCTACTTGAATCCCAATCGAACTCGCGCACTTCCACCGAACTGAAACTGGGTGACTGCGCCCTACTAGATGGGGATTTGTATGCAAAATGTCACTAAAAGCGCCATTTCGTTCTTATAAAAGCACGGATGACCGCGATTGGCCCATATGTTGTAGTCTTTTGGACGCTGAGTCGACTGGTTTTGGTCCGAAAAGGCTGCGATGCAGCGTTCGTCCCTTATTCCCAATTGAACGTGGTTGAAAAAGCGGTCACGTGCTCCTGGGTGCCCAAATCACCTGGTCACCACGCCAGCAGGCGACAACTTTCACACCAAGGTTCAACTCGAGTTCAACTCGAGTGACAGGACTGCACCCAACAAAGGTCAAACAGGCTAGTAAGTTGTACCCTGCAGGCACGGTGACCAGGTGACTGGTGTACGCAGGAGCACGTGATCGCTTGTTCAACCATGTTCGATTGGGAATAAAGGAGGAACGCTGCATCGCTATTAATATTGCTTATAGACAGTAGAGGCTAATGCAATCGTTACTGAGCCTGAGGCACGGCACCCACCGTACTCCAGTGCATGGCTGTAGGACAGGACTGTCGGGTGCCGAAGAAAAAAGTGCCGGAGAAAGAGCAGGCTTGAATTTCACCAAGCACAGTATACCGTATTATCTCTCTTATAAACACAGGTCTCCATTATAAGCACAGTCTCCATTATAAGCACAGTCTCCATTATAAGCACAGGTCGGAGGGCTGTTGAGATTACGAACGCACAGTCTCCAACATAGTCACAGTGATAATACTGGAATGCAGCTGTGCGACCAGCGATTGCCCTTTTCTGTCGCCATTTTTCCCTTGGTATCTGTTACCATGGCGTAGTACGAAAATAACTACTCCCTGATCGAGAGTGCACTGTAGTCTGTAGTGACTACAGTCCATTTCAAAACTATAGACGCGTACCTAGGCAACACCCGTTATGCCAGCATCTATACTTTTTCTTCTCTCTGTTCTCTAATCATGAAATCTGAGTTAAATTCCAATTTGAGTGTGTTACCGGTATGCAACTTTCTTGACCTTTTCATGGTTGAAAAAATATAAACACGGTCTCCAGTATTATCACGGTCTCCTCTATAAGCACGGGTGCGAGGTGGGTTGAAAAAATATAAGTACCGTGTTTATCAGGGAGATAATACTACTGTATACATGGTGACTCGACTGTGCATAGACTGTAATACAATGACAAATAAGAAGAGGCTAGGAGGAGGCTGACCTCCAGTTCTTCGGCGACCGACAGTACTCTACCCATGTGTGCTCTGGTTTTAGGAATAGTGGCGCCGTTTCCCACCCACTTTCAATTGGCCATCCGTGCAGCAGATCACTCGAGTGTAATTCTGTGTGCGAGAAGTCAGTTTACAGCTGCGCAAGGTGTCCACGAATTGGCAACTTCTTTGCTGCTGGCCCTCACTCATCCGTATTTAATAACCTGATCTCCGTGTTCTGTTGTCTTGCAGGCCACACGTGAGGAAATGAACCAGCACTGTCAAGACAACCAAGAACAGCATCTGGACATGGTCGCCAAGCAAACCCAGTCTCTGGAAGGTACGATGGATAAGATGCGTAACTCATTATCCCTTCAGCAGCAAACTATATCCCTGTTGGAAGAAAAGCTCCAAGAAGAACAAGCAGAACGGAAGCGGCTGGCAGAGATGCAAAAATCATCAGCGTCTCTCGATCCTGCTGCATTGATGGCTGACAGTCGGTTCCAAGCGGCGCTTAAGGCTTTTCTCGGTGACCAGTTCGAGTCCAGGATGGAAACTAAGGCAGTGGACATTCGGAAATCTGTTGACTTATGCGAACAGAGGAGCATACAGGCCCAAGAAGGCTGCCAACTGCTGAAAGGACAGATTCACGAAAGCGAGAAAACACTGGGCCAGATGACCGTTACTGCAGCACGCAGTGATGCCGCGCTGGCTGAAGTTGATTTACGTCTGCTTGCAGTGGAAACCAATAGCTACAATGGTCTGATCATCTTCAAGATCAACAACTTTGCACGAAGGCACGAGGAGGCGCGTACCGGCCGACGAGTCAGTCTCTATAGTCCAACGTTCTACACCAGTCGTCACGGTTACAAAGTCTGCCTCCGCGTCTACCTCAATGGTGATGGTTCGGGCAAAGGCTCCCACATCTCCGTCTTCTTCACCATCATGAAGGGAGAATTTGACGCGTTGCTCGATTGGCCGTTCAGGGCCAAGGTGACGTTTGCCATCCTTGACCAGGGACCAGCTCGCCATCACCGGATTGAGTCGTTCATCCCGGACCCGAACAGCAGTTCATTCCAGAAACCCGTCAACGACATGAACATTGCCAGCGGATGCCCGAAGATGATCAGCCACAGCGAGCTGTACGACAAGCAAACCAGCTACCTTCGAGATGACTGCCTCTACATCAAGGCATCCGTTGATCAAGCGGTCTGTGGCAGATTGGAGGGCTAAGCTTGGCACATGGACTTAACAACCGAATCAAGTGCCTTGTGCTCACAAAATTACACAGAAAGCAACCACCAGCGTTCCTCAGTGGCTCCCGTCGCTTTGTTGCCGACTCTAAACTGCCACTTGGCTGCCAAGTGACTGCCGACTCTCTGCTTTCAGCCTGCGTATCCAGAGCAGCTGTACACACCGGGTGTGGCCAACATCGCATCAATCCCGACTCTGTCGGTATCTGCCAGTGCTCATGGGATGGCATGCTTGCACGTCCTCGACCACGTCATCGTGTGTCAGTGTTGCCATGGTGTCGTACTTACGCTGCTCCCTGTTTGAAATTTCAATGTTACCACCTTTTCGTTTCATCAGTGTCTAGTCTTTCTTACACATAGAGCACTTTCCATTCATTTTTACACTAGTTCTAGTCTCACATTTTTATTATTTCCATCCCACCACCACCACCCCCTCATTCCCTTGGCAGCCACACCGAGCAACCGAACGGTGCCGGTCAACGCTATGCTACGAGTGTGTGCGAAAAGAGGCAATGGTCATGTGCCCTGGTGTCCACCTACCGTTGAGGCCGGCCATGGAGAGAACAGCGTCGACTTGCGACAGGCGTGCGGTTTTCTTCACTGCTGACAAGAGAAGCTGCGTCTTCGTGACGACGATGAACGCCCGGTTCCAGTTGGACGTACAGGCAACGAACTGCCCAGCCAGTATCTGCAGATGCGAACACCGGAGAGCCTCTGCTGGTTCTGCTCTCTACTGATGTTGTAGGGTGCCAGTTCTCAGTGAAATCCAATAGAGAGAGTCTATGCCACGCCGGGCGTCGTGCAGCCCGGGAGCACTCGGTGCAGCCCGGGAGCACTCGGTGCAGCCCGGGAGCACTCGGTGCAGCCTGGGAACACTCGGATGCGAACCGTGCAAGGTGACGCACAGATGATGTAGCGTCTCGTGTCCAGGACCACCTGCGACAGTATGCGATCTCAAACTGGATATTCTCTACTTCGAACACTCTGCAAACCTGCCTGCGAGTCTCGTACTGGAACTGAAAATACTATGAACTTGAATGCATTACCTTCTTTGATCTGTCAGAATGTGACTACTCTGAAGATCCAAGACTGAGCCGATGCGGCTACATGCTCCCTGCGGACTTGCTTTGAATACTCACTATCGCAATTGATTCTGTTGAAAAGGAATGTTTATGGCTCTGGCTTATGCTACCACTACTGGCTGTGTACCTGTTGGTTTCACATTATATGCTTGCACACACACATACACACACACATACATACACACACATACACACACACACACACACACACACACACACACACATACAAACACGCATGCGCACGTGCGCACACACACACACCATCACACACCACATTTCCATCCCCCCCCCCCCCCCTACTAAGAATGGCTTGGCGGCCTTGATGGATGTTGACATGAATTCCTGGATTGTTGTTGATGTTCTGGATCCACGTGATTTTTTATGAGGTTGAGCTCTACCGACTGGAATTGAGGAAATAATTGTATTGCACCAATGATCATTCTCACATTTCTGTTTTTGATTCTGTCGCTTGCTGCTTGCATAATCAGCCTACTCTTCAGTGATGATGATAATTATTATAATTTATGACTGATGTGAAACCATGAACCAAGCGCTGTTTGATAAACAGTAGTTGCATACCTGGGCTCAGGAAGACAGGGGGGGGGGGGGGGGTATTGTGCTTGTAGCACTACAAACTCTAATCCACCCCATGGAGACGGGGGGGGGGGGGGGGGGGGGGGCTCTGTAACGCATTATCCATGAGATCGGGTTTCAGATCACCTGGCAAAACCGTAGCTTGCCAGAAAAAGCCAGCCCTTATCTGATCGCGTAATGGCAAGGTTGAAGAAGCTGGCTGTTGGGAGATTGAGTATGACAACCTTACTAGTATAACCTTCCTCCTACGTGTAGCACAGTCAGACCTGGCATCTGATCGTACACTGCATTTTGCCGCACACAAACGTGAAAAACACACCCATACATTATACATGAACATAACACATGCACATGCACGCGCGCGCACACACACACACATGCGTGCACACACACACACACACACGTGCACGTGCGCGCGCACACACACATACTCCGGCATGCACTGGCTGTTGGTAAACACCCAGGAGAATGAAAGAAAAGCCAGGAGGAGGCACACACACACACACACACACACACACACACACACACACACACACACGTGCACGTGCGCGCACACACACATACTCCGGCATGCACTGGCTGTTGGTAAACACCCAGGAGAATGAAAGAAAAGCCAGGAGGAGGCACACACACACACACACACTCACACACACACACACACACACACACACACACACACGCACACTCGTGGACATCACGAGGGATGCACCAACATGACATTGTACAATTGCAGTGTGCAAACTGCAAAATTAAAATTGCTGAAATGCCGACTATGGTATAGCCCTTGGCGGATAATCCTCGACTGATTGGCAGATTCTTCTCGAAAAGCAGTGAAATTGGCAGAATCGTACAAACCATGCCTGGGTGAAAGTTTGTAGCCAGAAGATATACAGATTATCAGTTGTCTGAAGATTGCCTTAGCTTCGCTATGTGCATGAAACGCAGCGTTACAACAATGACCTAGCCGGTTGTCTCTGTTCTCCTCTGCCTTTGTAATACAGTAAAACCTGGTTTAAGCGACCACCCACTGGGGTGCAAGCCAAAGCGGTCGTTAAAGCCAGGTGGTCTTTAGAGCCAAATCCCACAGTATCGGTGTAGAACTGTGGGTGCATGGAAAACGGTCGTTAAGAGCAGGTGGTCGCTAAAACCAGAGGTCGCTTACACCAGGTTTTACTGCACATGTACAGTCATGTACACTATAGACGTATCCACAGTACACAATCATGCACATCTAGTCATCTACGCTGTCCGAAGAATGCGTACACAATCATGTAACTGTTAATATGGGCAATACCAAGAGTAGGTAAACACTGTATATCTACTCTGCACTCTTGCGTGGGGTAGTGCCTTTGCTCTTTTGCGTTATGCAGAGCCCACTGACTGGTCAGTTCGACCAAAGAACTAAGATTATGTGATGTAAGAAGAAAGTATTCTACCGTCTCTCAAGAGGTCTCTGATGACCGAAACAGCTGTCAGGAGGAATTAAAAAATAATATATTTTCACTCATTTTTCAGTATTCCAAACCTCTTGTTGCTGCTGTGGGGAATGAACGTGGTCGCCCGCAGAACGCATAGATTATGGTGGTGGTGAAGTGGACGCAGAATTATGCGACGTGTTCATCACATCATGTCCATATCTATAACGGGAATAGGCAGCTGTCTGTGTCTCATTTCCGAGCTCGCGCCGGGCACTTCACCCTTCAAACACCAAACCGCACAGCCTGGGCATAGTTGACAGGCCTTGGCAGCAGTGCAGCCTGCCCCAATGCATGCACCCTGAAAGTAACTTCTAATGCAACAGTTACTGTGGTACTACGGTCTTTCTAATACAACAAAGGGTTTTCTTTGGTGTACTGTCAACAGATCAACAAGGTCCTACTTTGTACACCAAGCATGAGCGAACTCTATAAGAGTTTTGTGCTAAAACATGATTCACTCCCCTGGACACACATGATGGCACAAATAGAATGATACTGTTTCTCCCCTCTTACCTCTCAGAGAACTATGTATTTCTAAGCTACTACTGCAGCACTTGTCAGGTCAACTTGCCAAAGCTGTTCATAAAGTTACATACACTGTTCTGCCTTGGACGGTGAGTTTTTATTTCAGTACAGATACGCAGCGTACTTGTGCAGGGTGTGCAATGCCCTAGATAAGTAAACAGCTAGTTAGTACACTCCATTGGCATTGTTCAGTTTGACAGTTTCTACTACTAGTATGTAGTTAATGCACGCGCACCCGGACTTGTACAGCACCGGGACTTTCCCAACCGGCTCTGTATTAATGATTACGATGTATTTCCCAACCATCCCTAATTTTTTTCACCATGAATGCAGAATCCAGGCCATAGAAGGCCACATGTACAGTAGATACTCATGCCAGAAAGGTTACTGTATGGCTGTAGTTCCTGCTTTTCTTTGGCGCGTGACGTGCGTGGTGGCCCACGACCTGCTGGATCTCGCCGTGTTGAGTTGGCGGTCATAATAAGTCAGGGAACATAAGAGTAGCGGAAGGCATTGGGTAAGGTAGCGAAATATAAAGTTTCACAAGGTGCTGAGTCAGTTTGCGGGTGAAGGCTTGACGAAGAACAGGTCGATGTCGCCACCATTACCACCCGAGCAACGCGCCTTGCACTCCGACAGCCGCTTATTGGCGACACAATCGACTCCTATTTTTTACTCAACTCACACCTAAGCTGTTGTACAGGTCTTCATTGTCTACGCCGTGTCTGCGTGTGGAGTTCTACTGTGCACGGCGCTCTGGCAAAGTCCTTCCTAATCTTGCTAGTAAAGGTAAGAGAACCATGCTGAAAGCTCTAGTCGAGTTTTGTTTACAATCGCCAGTTAAGGAAGTCTTTCCTATTTGTGGCTTGACACTGGGGAGTGTCGTACTGTAATACTACAGTAGTTCATTTTCAAATGTACACAACTGTCTGCTTACAGGCGAATACCGGCATTTTTGCATGATCTCCCGGCTTGGTCTCGTTTCTCTGACATTAGGTTGATGTGGATGATGAAATTTGCGTTTGTGCTAAATGATCGCATTCGTTTACAGCGGCGCTTCGTGTTGAGACTGGATCTTACCGCTTTCTTGCTACGAATTAATGAGCTTGGGAAACTCGTCGATATACGTGTGTTTTCATAAGGTAATTGCTGAAGATAGACACGAGCCATATCATGCCAAAGCCGTTTACTTTCACTATTAATTTTGTAGCGCAGAGGCACTGGCTATAAATACCGTATGTGGGTGTCTCTAGTCAGGAAGTAGTTGCAGTAGGCTGCAGATTCACCAGCAAACCGTGAAGTTGAGTGTATATCGAGTTCTGAAAGCGCGATACTCTGGCTCACCTAATCAAACACGTCGGAATCGCAGTTCAAGTTGTCTGGCTCTGGTGCGGGGTCGCACTGCGACGAAAAGAGCTAGGCACCGACTGTTTCAGGAACTGCTACAAGTAGGTTCTTCATTCCCAAGACGGCAAGTTTACTTCTGGTTGATAGGGAAAGCTACTTAGAGCTCTGTTGCAAGGATCGAGGGCAATGCTTACTACTGTTGATGTCTCCCCTGCACTTACTTGTACATGTATGATTGTACTACTTCGTTGGAACAAACACTTGCTGTATGTTGCGTTCTCGAGGGATTCTTCCTTAGCTACATGTACATTGTACATGACTTGTACACGTACCTGTTTCCGAGAACTAACTTTACAAGCTCATGCATCAAGAATAAACACCTCCGTTCTACACTATTCCATTCGTGTTGATTTGTCACACATGATATTTCGTTTAGTGTACACACATTGCGCCAATATCTCCTATAAAACAATTTCATGTACATGTAGGTCAGCCCATTTCATTCAATATCTGCCTCTTTTCTGATGAGTACCCGATATCGTAATGCAAGGATCAAGGCTAGTCAGGAGCAACTTCTACCTGTTGTGGAGTGTAACGGGTGCAGTGCTTGTGCTGGTGTCTGCAAGTGTCGTCTGGTCACAAGAAAATCTGCTACTACCATCAGAAAGGCGAATAATCAGGATATGCATGGATACTATTGGATAGTTAACTTGTTTTCTACTGTCCGTACCCAACAAACATCAGATGTTTTCAGAGTGGAGGAGAATGACACATTCTGTCATTCTCCTCCACTCTGAAAACATCACCGTACCCAACAAGCATCTGTCATTCTCGTCCGCCCTGAATGACTGCACTGTATGTAGGCCATCAGCAATCCCCACTCACAATGTGCATGTAGAACTGTGCTGACAATGACTGGTGAAAGAGTAAAAAAATGTAATGCTTCACCTTGACCCCCCCCCCCCTCCCTCCCACACACACACAACAAAATGAATACACTCTAGGTTGCTAAACTCTTCGCCAATCGTCAGACACCAATGGAGATGCTAGTGGTATGTGCTAAAGGGTACGGGAGAGGAGAGAGAAAAGCAAGTGTGGCCAGTAATTAGTTAGCGCAGCAGAAAAAAGGCGTCATGCCTGGATATGAGGGGTGGCGATGTTTTGCTGAAAAGGTCTGATAGTCAGGTGCGTCAATAGCCTACATGTAGGTAAGTTGGAAGCAGCTTGCCATTGGCCATTGTATTGCATTCAGACAAAGACCTCAACATGGAGCATCAGGAAAACCCAAACTAGGACTTCTGCCTAGGAGAATTAATGTGTTCGAGCACTGGCGAGAAGTAATCTCACTTTATCCTAGCGTTGTCTCCTGAAAGCGGCAGGAAGGAGACCATTGAATTCATGATTGCTAGCAGCTGATGACGCGCAGTCACACTCTGCCAGCGGCGGTGGAGCACGCTGGACAAAAGACCTGTCATCTCTGATGAGTGATGAAGTCAAACAGCTGGATGTTACCACACCATGCACATACGTGGATGAGAATTGACAAAAGGGCGCGCAACAAAAGGCCAGGCATGCGGATCCTGGAATTGACTACACGTACTC